TCTCTCTCTCTCTCTCTCTCTCTCTCTCTGGGGTTCATATTGTCTGATCCAGAGTGATACTGCACCTTTCTTGCAAGATTTTTCATTTTTTTCTAATGATCCTTCCCCACAGTGTCACTTTCCTGATCAGCCTTACCACAAGCTTTCAGAATTAAACCAGCAGTACCTCGCAGCATCTCTTTGCCGAGGCGGACTCCCCCCTAAGCGCCAAGCTTTGCTGAAACACAAGCATGGTGCTTTTTTGTTTTTTTTGGCTGATTCCTCCCTGCGCGCCAAGCTTTGCCAAAACACCAGCGTGGTTTTTTTCTTTTTTTTTGGCTAATGCCGCTGGCCATTTTGGTCCAGTTGCACTGTTCACCGGAAATCTGTGGACTTGGCTCAATTTCCGTTCTTGAGTTTGCCTGGACGATGCACCTGCAGTTTAAACCACCAGTACATGCCAGCTATCAGCCGCGGGCCCCTTTTGGAGGCTGCCCACTGCCGATTCATTTTATCTAGGGCGCTCGGCCTCCTAAATTTCTGGAGAGGCTCAAAACAGGTTCTCCAGTTGCCTGGGGCCATGTACAGGTGGTTTAAACCACCAGTACATCCAGCTATCGGCCGTGGGCCCTTTTCCGAGTCCGCTCGCCGTCGATTCAATTTATCTACGACGCTGGGCCTCCGAAATTTTTGTAGGCGACGAGTTTTCTTTTCAGCAAGGCTGGGGCCGTGTACTGGTGGTTTAAGGCCTGGTTGAGAGGGAGTGTTAGACCACAGGAGGAGTTGGGCTGTTCTGAGAAAGTTTAAGAGACAATGCGGGACGATAGGTCACTTGCTCTGGCCCAATAGTCCGTAGCTTGCTTCCAAGTTGCACCTGATTAGGAATTTGAGGATGCCTTCCTTCTCTTTTTTAAGTTTTTTTTTTATATTTAAACCACTAGTACCTTTGTCGCTTCGAAAATACTCGGCCTCCGACCTTTCAGGAGGCCGAAACAAAACGACGGCCGCCGATCAGATTGATCAACGTCGGGCTCGGCCTCCTGAAAGTCCGGGAACTGGCAAGTACTCGTCGAAACCGGACGCCAAAGGTACTAGTGGTTTAACATCCACTTGGCCAATGTTGTAGGTGATATGAGCAGCCCAGCCCACACTGGTTGTCCCTTGCCGATAGGATGTCTCCTGTGCTCGATCTGGATAGACAAGACACTTTTCGTCAGAGAATTGAGCGTTATTGGCTTTCCTACCTCCATCTGACCATTGGTTCACCGAGAGAGCAACATAAGTTATTAACTTATTAGCCATTGAAGGCTTCTAATGTTTTTAGCGGTCTTCTACAGTGGATGAATATCCACCACGGTAGCTTCGTTGTTCGATTTACTGTTGCTCCCAGAATCTTCACCCATCTTTGGTATATGACAAGGGGTGCGTTGTTTGTTTTCAGAAACATCCTGAAACCAAGTTTGACTGCGTAGCCTTTTATCGAAATAGGCATTCTGTGTCTTTCTTTCTTTCTTTTTTTTCTTTTTTCTTTTTTTTTTTGTGGCCCAGCGTATTGTAGAGGCCAAGGACTAGACCCATGGTGATTGCAGGCAGCGGCAGCCGATGGTTGTCCTGACAGGATAGGCCACGTTCTCCCCTGTTAGCCAGGCCAATTCTGTTGGTTCGAACTCAAGGTCAGCTATTGCTGTTGGTTCTGCAAGGAACATGAATATGGACGAAGCACAGAAATCCAGATTGCAAAATCACACTGAAGTCCAAGTAGTCAAAGCAAGAGCAGATAGCACAATGGAACCGAGTAACCATCCATTTGAGAACAATACAGAAGAATCGTGAGTCAATGTCCAAGCCCAACAGGGCAACACCAACAGCATAACCCAATGTAGCTCTCTCTCTTGGATGGCGCCAGGCGCCCTACCTACTCTACAGCCTAACACTACAACTACAGTATGAAAGCAACCAGACAACTTGACGACCAGCGAGTGATGATGTCAACACCAATGCCGACCTCCCACCTCCACCAGGAACGTCTCCTCCACCCACACTCTCCCTTGTTATCCCACACAGTGCCCTTCACCTCCGAAGAACCACCTTCGCCCTCACCTCCCCTGCGCCCTCAGGCAGCCCGGCTATGGCCGCCAGCACCCTATGTACAGGCAGCGCCCTACCGCCTAGCGCCTGCCTGTCTCGCACCTCAGCCTAGCGCAGCGCAGCACCTCACATTTGCGCAGCATGCCGGCATTGCCCGCAATGGCCAAGATCCCAGCCCACTCGCCCTGCTTGCCTATATGCCAGTGTTGCGTGTGGGCGGCCTCCCTTCAGCCTGCGACTGGGCCCCAGTGGCTGAACCCAGGCCCGATACAGTTGGGGCCCGGGAGATGCAGTTGCGCCTCTTTCATCAAGGCCTGCGGCCAGATTCAGATAGTGGGCCGGTTTCCCATTGGCATTTTCGGCCTCTATTTCCAGTATGCATTGTCGGCCTCACGTTTATGTGCCCAGGGCCTAACCAACTCAGGGGCCCTGG